CCAGTGTACTAGCTAGACAACTAGCATCTTCAGAAGGTGATAGCAATGGCAACTCCTGGAAGAATATCTGAGCATTTCCTGATCACAAAAGTCCTTACACCCACTTGTAGTGTAGAGGAAAAGAGAAGTATGTAAGGACACGTGTGCTAGATCACAGATTGTACTAAGCAGCATAATTAAACTCTCATGCTTATTGGACAGTTAAGTCATATTCTGATACTCTGTAGCACCCACAGACATTAAATTGTCCCACACTCTGACTGAAAACAACCGTCACCTGGTGAATGAATGAAAATTTGTACCTGAATTACAATCTAAAGCCAAAAAGATTCTTCAATTATAACCTGATCCTTCCAACATTAGGATGATTTAATTATTGTAGTCTCACCAGTTGCAAACTTGTATCACCTAACAATTGACAGTCATCTCAACATCTGTTATCCGAAAAAGCAAAAGCATAACATCTGTTATCTGAATAGTTTATAATCCATACCAAAATTACCATAAAAGACCATAATGAAGTAACATGGATCTTGAAATTCTATGAACCATCTCTGCTACATGTTTTTTTTTAACATCTCGGTTTGCATCACGTTAGACTAGTTTGTGTGGCTTTGTGATAAGTCACTGAATTGTTTGTACTTCATTTGTTCGATGAAAATAAAGTAATAAAATATAACATTTAAAGTACAGCATGCAAAATGCTGCACATAATTGACACTGGTTATAATGGGCAAGAACAGCCAAAAGAAAAACTTGTGCCTACAGCATAGGTGGAAAGCCTTGGAACCTCAATGTCACAAACAGATTGGGATTTACAAATGCAAATTGCCCTCATTACAGCTAAGCTCATTATACGGAAAAGTGCACTGATGAACTGCAGAAAACCTGGCCTGCCACTGGCATGTGAAGCCAAAAGATGGTCACCTCTGGCCTATTCATTTCAGAGCTAGGCACCAATTAGGTGTCTGACTAGAAATATTTGGCCTTCGTACAGGTTAACAACTGGGTGCAAGATAAACAGTTGCTTTCAATCTGGCATTTGTTTGTTTAGAAACAAATAAGAACCCAGACAAATAAAAAGTAAATACATTTTTCAATTGGTTAAAATCTAGTACATATTTATATAAAGATCCAACATTTTGCCTGAATCTATAAAACAGAAAACGATCCAATTCATATTTTTTTTATATCCACTTGACCGCCCAGAAGATTTACCCCAACCAGGCCATTTTTTGCGATACGATGCTGCATTATTTTAACTGACAATTGCGTGGTCATGCAAATAAATGAAATTTATGTAATTTTTTTTTCCCCACAAATAGAGCTTTCTTTTGGTGGTATTTGATCACCTCTGCGTTTTTTTTTTACTTTTTTGTGTTATAAATAAAAAAAGACTGACAATTTTGGAAAAAAAATATTTTTTATTTTCTGCTATAAAACATATCCAATAAAAAAAATTAATAAAAAAAAACAAATTTCTTCATAAATTTAGGCCAAAATGTATTCTGCTACATATTTTTGGTAAAAAAAAAATCCCAAAAGGTATATATTGATTAGTTTGTGCAAACATTATAGAGCCTACAAACTATGGGACATATACTGGAATTTTTTTTTTAATTATTATTATACAGGATTTTTTTTATAGCGCCAACAGTTTGCACAGCACTTTACAGTATAAATGACAGTACAATTACAATAAATTTCAGTACAGAAGGAATAGGCGGGCCCTGCTCGTGGAGCTTACAATCTAAAGGAAGAAGGAGGTGGTACAAAGGTGATAGTTGTAGGCGATGATCTGATGGAGGTGGCTCAAGTACAGTTCTTAGGTGGCGGTGGGATAAGCTTCTCTGAATAAGTGAGTTTTCAAAGATCGCCTAAAGGCAGACAGGGTGGGGGGCTGACCAGACATACTGCGGTAGGGAGTTCCAGAGGATGGGAGAGGCTCTGGAGAAGTCCTGTAGGCAAGCGTGGGAGGAGGTGACAAGAGGGCTAGAGAGCAAGATATCTTGGGAGGAGTGGAGTGGGCAATTTGGACAATATCTGCAGATGAGGTTAGTGATGTAGGTAAGGGCACTGTTGTGGATGGCTTTGTATGTTGTGGTTAGTATTTTGAATTTTTACATGTTGGGTTAGTGAAAGCCAATGAAAGGATTGGCAGAGAGAGGCAGCAGTCGCTGATCGGTTGGTAAGGTGTATGAGTCTAGCAGCAGCATTCATAATAGACTGAAGGGGGGATAACCTGTAGACCAGTGAGGAGGGAGGAGGAAGTTGCAGTAATCAAGGCAGGATATAACCAAGGTGTGGATAAGTTTTTTTTGTGGTGTCATTGGTCAGAAAGGGGCGGATTTTGGAAATGTTCCAGAGGTTGAGGCAGCAGGATTTAGCCAGTGATTGGATGTGGGGCCCAAAGGAGAGGTGAGTCTAGATTACACCTAGCACCCTGCCATGAGGGGAAGGATCAATGGTTGTGCTGTTGATCTTAATGGTAAAGTCATGAGTGGGGGAATCGGGGAGGAGGAAATATTACAAGCTCAGCTTTGGTAAGATTGAGTTTAAGGTAGTGGTGTGACATCCATACTAATATGTCGCTTAGTGGATTTGTGATACATGAGGAGATTGAGGGGGTGAGCTGGGGAGTGGAGAGATAGATCTGGGTGTCATCAGCATAGAGGTGGTATTGGAAGCCATGTGAGGTTATCAATTGGCCAAGGGAGGAGGTATAGAGAGAGAAAAGGAGGGGACCAAGGACACAGCCTTGGGGCACTCCAACGAAAAAAGGAAGAGGAGCGGAGGAGGAGTTGTTGTATGTGATGCCGAAAGTGCGGTGGCGATCAGTGACTTATAGTGGGACTGCGATATTGCGGCAGACATTTTTACACTAACTGACACTTTGTGAGAACCAGTGGCACTAATACAGTGATCAGTGCTAAAAATATGCATTGACACTGTACTAATGACTCTAGCTGGGAAGGGGTTAAACATCTAGGGTTATCAAATGGTTATGTCAGGAATGGACTGGCCAGCAATAGTGGGACTCACCTGCCTTATGAGCTGCAGTACCAGGGCTGGCCAGCGGGTGCTCCCCGCAATCAGAGACTCAACCTTGCAGCCAGTCAAACACCTGGAACTAATTATACTGGTGTATTTAAGGGACATTCAGACCTGCAGACTCTGCCTTGGTGTTGTGTTTCTCCTGGGCCTGTTTCCTGTTCCTGTCTGATTCTCTGCTGACCCTGCTCTGATCCCTGGCTTGTCTGACAATTCTCCTGCTCCTGATCCCTGGCTTGTCTGACCATTCTCCTCTGCCTGACCCTCTGTACCACGCTGCCCGCTACCTGCTGAACCTGGCTTGTGACCCCGACCATTCTCCGCTTGCTCCCCCTGTACCTACCTGCCCGATTGATATTGACCTGGCCTGCCTGACGACGCTTGCATTGTATGTACTGTCATCTGTGGGTGGTTGGTTTGGTTCGTTTGCACTGTGTTATGTTTTAGTATTGCACTGCGTTTATGTTTGTATTGTTAGTGTTAATAAATTACATTGTTTATAACATATCTGAAGTCTGCGTTTCCCTGCGTCAGTCACACACCTCTGGTCTCACCCGGGAGCCCTGACATTACACCAAGGCCAATCCTGACCAGAAGTGGCTGCACAGGGAAGCCATCTTGGTTTGTTGATGGGAAGGATGGATCTGGATGAGGTTGCGTATTTATATCTGCTAGTGTTTGATGACAGGGAGTATGCTTATCAAACTCTGAAGGAGTATACCCGGGATGAACTGCTAGAATGTATACGGCTCACTCATGTTCTAATAGATCAGGGCACAGAGTTCTCTGAGGTGCAGCCATTGATTGAGGTTTGTGCTGAGTTGGTTTCATCTAGTACCCCAGAATGCAGGGATGAATTTTTGCCACCATTTAGTGCAGACCAGGTAGAGTCCCTGGTGTGGTTATTAGAGGATGTGTGGGTTACTTTCTGGAGCGTTATTCCACATGTTCACCACAGGTACTAAGAGATTGTATAAACGCAGTGCAGTCTTTGGTCAGACAGGCTTTGTGTAAGCTCAGCTTTGTTCAACCCATACTGCAGACATGGACAGATTTGTTGCACCCAGCCTCAGTCAGCTTACAAAGACCCAGTCCTGCTTCTAATCTATTTCCTCAAAGCTCTACTCCTGTATTCCCAACAGCTCCTCCAGTTACAGCCCAGTATACTTGGCTATCTACCGCATGTCAGTACCCTGTTCCCACTCGCTGCACCTATCCTGCCTTTAACCCTGTAAAAAAGCCCTCTGTAGCAACTGCTCCCTCTCCTGTTCCATCCTCCAGCTCTTCTCTGTCTCCAGCTGCTCCATTCATTTGCAGACCTGCGTTTACTTGCAGTGCTCCAGTAGTTAAAACCAGAAAAAAGCGAAAATTCTTTCCAACCAATACCATCCTGCCAGTATCCAAACCGGTGAACCTGCCTTCCGTGGTTCAGCCTGAAGCCTCTACTCAGCCTGAAGCCTCTACTCAGCCTGAAGCCTCAGCCTACTCAGCCTGATGCCTGTACTCAGCCTGATGCCTCTCTCAGCCTGATGCCTCTACTCAGCCTCAGTACCAGCCTGAAGCCTCTACTCAGCCTGAAGCCTCTACTCAGCCTGATGCCTCTACTCAGCCTGATGCCTCTACTCAGCCTGATGCCTCTACTCAGCCTGATGCCTCTACTCAGCCTGATGCCTCTACTCAGCCTGATGCCTTTACTCAGCCGGATGCCTGCATTCAGCCTGATGCCTCTACCCAGCATGATGAACTGATCCAGCCTGACGATCCTATTAGGCATGGTGACCCGATGCCCGCTGTCGAGCCAGACAATCCGGTACCTGATGACTCGGTGCCCACTGCCTTGCCAGATGACGCGGTGCCCGCTGCGAGCTAAATGACCTGATGCCTGGTGACCCAGTGCCCGCTGTCATACCTGGTGACCCGATGCCCGCTGTCGAGCCAGACGATCCAATGCCTGGTGACCCGGTGCCCATTGCCTTGCCAGATGACGCGGTGCCCGCTGGCAAGCCAAATGACCTGATGCCTGGTGACCCAGTGCCCGCTGTCATACCTGGTGACCCGATGCCCGCTGTCGAGCCAGACAATCCGGTGCCTGACGACTCAGTGCCCGCAGTCTTGCCAGACGACTCGGTGCCCGCAGTCTTGCCAGACGATTCGGTGCCCGCAGTCTTGCCAGACGACTCGGTGCCTGCAGTCTTGCCAGACGACTCGGTGCCCCGCTGTTCCGCCAGTTGACTCGATGCCCGCTGTTCCGCCAGACGACTCGGTGCCCGCAGTCTTGCCAGACGACTCGGTGCCCGCAGTCTTGCCAGACGACTCGGTGCCCGCAGTCTTGCCAGACGACTCGGTGCCCGCTGTTCCGCCAGTTGACTCGATGCCCGCTGTTCCGCCAGACGACTCGGTGCCCGCAGTCTTGCCAGACGACTCGGTGCCCGCAGTCTTGCCAGACGACTCGGTGCCCGCAGTCTTGCCAGACGACTCGAAGCCCGCTGTTCCGCCAGTTGACTCGATGCCCGCTGTTCCGCCAGTTGACTCGGTGCCCGCAGTCTTGCCAGACGACTCGGTGCCCGCAGTCTTGCCAGACGACTCGGTGCCCGCAGTCTTGCCAGACGACTCGGTGCCCACAGTCTTGCCAGACGACTCGAAGCCCGCTGTTCCGCCAGTTGACTCGATGCCCCCGCTGTTCCGCCAGTTGACTCGGTGCCCCGCAGTCTTGCCAGACGACTCGGTGCCGCGCAGTCTTGCCAGACGACTCGGTGCCCGCAGTCTTGCCAGACGACTCGGTGCCCGCAGTCTTGCCAGACGACTCGAAGCCCGCTGTTCCGCCAGTTGACTCGATGCCCGCTGTTCCGCCAGTTGACTTGGTGCCCGCAGTCTTGCCAGACGACTCGGTGCCCAAAGTCTTGCCAGACGACTCGGTGCCCGCAGTCTTGCCAGACGACTCGGTGCCCCGCAGTCAGACGACTCGGTGCCCGCAGTCTTGCCAGACGACTCGAAGCCCGCTGTTCCGCCAGTTGGCGGGTGCCCGCAGTCTTGCCAGTTGACTCGGTGCCCGCAGTCTTGCCAGTTGACTCGGAGCCCACTGTCGTGCCTGGTGACTCGGTGCCCACCGCTCCGCCTGGGGGCCCCGAGACCTGTCGCTCCACCTGGGGGTCCGGCGCCCGCTGCTCCGCCGGGGGGCCCGATGCCTGTCGCCCCGCCGCCTGGGGGCCCGATGCCTTTCGCCCCGCCTGGGGGCCCGGTGCCCGCTGCTCCGCTTGGGGGCCCGATGCCTGTCGCCCCTCCTGGGGGCCCGGCGCCCGCCGCTCCGCTTGGGGGCCCGATGCCTGTCGCCCCGCCTGGGGGCCCGATGCCTGTCGCCCCTCCTGGGGGCCCGGCACCCCCGCCGCTCCGCTTGGGGGCCCGATGCCTGTCACCCCGCCGGGGGGCCCGGTGCCCGTCGCCCCACCTGGGGGCCCGGTGCCTGCTGTTCCGCCTGGGGGCCCGGTGCCTGCCTGCTGCTCCGCCCGGTGGCCCGCTGCCTGCTGCTTCGCCTGGTAATCCGATGTGCCTCTGCCCGGAGTCCAGCCCGATGTGCCTCTGCCCGGAGTCCAGCCCGATGTGCCTCTGCCCGGAGTCCAGCCCGATGTGCCTCTGCCGGAGTCCAGCCCGATGTGCCTCTGCCCGGGGTCCAGCCCGATGTGCCTCTGCCCGGGGTCCAGCCCGATGTGCCTCTGCCCGGGAGTCCAGCCCGATGTGCCTCTGCCCGGAGTCCAGCCCGATGTGCCTCTGCCCGGAGTCCAGCCCGATGTGCCTCTGCCCGGAGTCCTGCCCGATGTGCCTCTGCCCGGTGTGCCGCTGCCCGGAGTCCTGCCCGGTGTGCCAGTCTTTGATATCCCGCCAGTTACCAGACCCGGGCGGTGGAACATTTTGCCCAGCTAGGACTGTTTGGAGCGTCCTGAGGCCGCTCCTTGAGGGGGGGGGGGTACTGTCAGGAATGGACTGGCCAGCAATAGTGGGACTCGCCTACCTTATGAGCTGCAGTACCAGGGCTGGCCAGCGGGTGCTCCCCGCAATCAGAGACTCAACCTTGCAGCCAGTCAAACACCTGGAACTAATTATACTGGTGTATTTAAGGGACATTCAGACCTGCAGACTCTGCCTTGGTGTTGTGTTTCTCCTGGGCCCTGTTTCCTGTTCCTGTCTGATTCTCTGCTGACCCTGCTCTGATCCCTGGCTTGTCTGACCATTCTCCTGCTCCTGATCCCTGGCTTGTCTGACCATTCTCCTCTGCCTGACCCTCTGTACCACGCTGCCCGCTACCTGCTGAACCTGGCTTGTGACCCCAACCATTCTCCGCTTGCTCCCCCTGTACCTACCTGCCCGATTGATATTGACCTGGCCTGCCTGACGACGCTTGCATTGTATGTACTGTCATCTGTGGGTGGTTGGTTTGGTTCGTTTGCACTGTGTTATGTTTTAGTATTGCACTGCGTTTATGTTTGTATTGTTAGTGTTAATAAATTACATTGTTTATTATTATTATTATTATACAGTATTTATAAAGCGCCAATAGTTCACTCAGCGCTGTACATTACAAAGGGGGACAGAACATGTGACAGAACAATACCAATACAATGCAAAACATGAGGGGATCGAGGGCCCTGCTCTTTCGAGCTTACAATCTAGAAGGGATGGGGCAGTGGTACAGGAGGAGATAGCTGTGGGGGATGGAGTGGTAGGAAGAGTGGAGGAAGTCAGCAAGTTAGCAGGGGGTGAGGTAGGCTTCCCTGAAGAGATGGGTTTTCAGGGTGCGCCTAAAGGAGAGGAGAGTAGTGTGATAATCTGATGGGTTGGGGCAGGGAGTTCCAGAGGATGGGTGACACCCTGGAGAAGTCCTGGAGGCGGGCATGGGAGGAGGAGACCAGGGAACTAGAGAGGAGGTCTTGTGAGGAGCGGAGTGTGCGTGCTGGGCGACATATCTGAAGTCTGCGTTTCCCTGCGTCAGTCACACACCTCTGGTCTCACCCCGGGAGCCCTGACAGGTTAACTGTGTACCTAGCTATGTGCTTGGTATACACTAGGTGGTGCTTTTACTAGAGGAAGTGAATGATCACGTTCCCAGCTCTGCAGGGACACATGATCCCTAACCCCCTCCCACCCATCAGAATGGAGCTCTGCCTTATTTACAGAGCAGAGCATTATTCTGTGTCCTGCCCGATGATCTGCAGGTGCCGGCGGACATCCGTTCACCGGCACTCACAGATCGGCTTCTGCTGTGAGTGTTCAAAGCAGAAGTAATCCACCAGCGCCCCGCCATGGCAGAAGTGCACACACACACGTGATTTTGCATGGGAGGGCCGCCCTGTAGCATTAAAACTGCTATAGGGTGGATCTTAAGTGGATATTCTTGTACTGAAATGTCACTTTCATCCATTATCTTTTTCAACCAATTTAGCAGACATTACTGCAAAGAAACTATAGCACTCCACCCTAACACACATTATTTTTCACTGTCAGTTTAACTGAAATGCAGAGCAGAACACTGTAGGATTATATCTAAACCTACTGTGAGAATTGAGAAAAAAAAAGTGAAAACTATGTAAAAATAGTTTACATCTCTGAGCTAGCCTGTGCACCCTGGCATCAGGAGTAGGCATGAGAATAATAATACTTTACTACTGCCTGTGAATACGGCAGACCATACATTAACCAGTTTTCTTTCCTTCAACCAAAGGTTAAAGAAAACTTTGCATTTGCTGGTGCCACATACCCCGGAGGTTGGCCTGTTGGGTATTTTGAATGATTTTGTCCCTCACACTCAGTCTAGGACAGGGGTGGGCAACTGTGGCCCTCCAGTTGTTGGTGAACTACAAGTCCCATCATGCCTCTGCCTTTGGGAGTCATGCTTGTAACTGTCAGTTTTGCAATGCCTCATGGGACTTGTAGTTCTACAACAGCTGGAGGACCACAGTTGCCCACCCTTGGTCTAGGATATTGCTACGTCTGCTCCTGTTTTATGCTAGAAAACTTATTTTGTTAAGCTGCAAAGGTGATACTCAGCCTTCTATACATCAATTTATTTGAATGGTTAATCTAGTGCTGCCTCAATATAAGCTGATCTATAAGGGATGGGCCTGCCATAAAAATTCACAAAAATCTGGCAGCCGGACTCTTTCTGGGGGGATACTCTCTTATCGCAACCACAGGGTTCTATGGTTTGAGTGATGGAATTTAAATGTTAGTGATCTCTTCTGGTGCATATGCGGAGTTGATGGTGCGGGTGTTTGTGGCTGTTCGTGTCTGGTGTGTGTGTTTTGACTGTGTGTTTGACTGTTTTTGATTGTTGATCTGTTATGCTGCTGTTTTTTGTTTTGTAACTCTTACTGTTCTCTGTAAAGGGCTTATGGCCTGGCAATAATTTGTTACTTGTTTCTGATCCCTTTCTGTGTACCCTTGCTCTTAGGTTTTACTTTTGGGTTCCTGTTATCATTTATCATTTGTCTCTGTTTTCTATTATTATTTGTGTTTTATAAATGCAAAATAAATAAACACCTTTAAAAAAAAAAGATTAAAGGAAACAAATTGCTTGATTTCCCCATCAACACAGAATGTGTAAATCCCTCCCACAGAGCTATTGTATTCTTAAAGCGGGAGGTGATTGCTGCTTGTGGCTATAGCCACTGGCAATGACTGAACGAAAAAAAAAAAAATGGACAGGCTGGTTGTACCGTAGTCGATTGATAAATCAACTTCAGTACAATCAGCCTGACCATACATGGATTGAAATTCAGCCAGATCCTACTGAATCAGACACATTTCGATCCATCTTTGGCAGACTTAGGGTCCAAAGGGACTCACCCCTCTGACATTAGAACATTTCCATACTGATGTTCCAAACTGGAAACTAAACAGAGACAAAAAATAAATGTAATAAAAGCAATGTTGATTTCAATATTAGTGCAGCGCTTATTCCCCTTATCAACCAAATTCATAATCAAAATATCAAAACCAATGTCTTTCAATCTTAACAGTCCAATTCTTTAAAGGATAAGTTCACCTTTGGGAACATGTTACATGTTCCACCCGTTTTTAGGGTGGAACATGTAACATGTTAAACACCGCTGCAGCCATGACTGAAGCCCCCCACCCCCACCTGTGACAGTCATATGGGGAGAAGTGACTAGCTGTCACTTTTTGAAAACAGCACGGCTGTGCGGGACTCCGCCTACATGGCTGTGTCATTCGTCTTGTGAATAAATTAACTATAAGTCCCGACAGCCTTTGTGGCTTTTGGCTTGTAATTCTCAGTGAACTACCGGGGAGCTGTTGAGCACTGTGTTAGTTCAATGAGTCTCCCTGTCAGACTGTATCTGCATGCCCATATAGAATTTACGAATTTAGAATTGGTAGATAAGGAGAAATAGCGCTGCACTAATATTGAAATCAGTATGTATACACATCTGTATGGGACAGGGGTAGGCAACCTGCGGCTCTCTAGCTGTTGTGGAACTACATTTCCCATGAGGCATTGCAACATTACAGAACTGACAGTTACAGCTATGACTTAGAGGCATGATGGAACTTGTAGTCCTGCAACAGTTGGAGAGCCGCAGGTTGCCTACCCCTGGTATGGGAGTACCATGATTGCTGCAATATACTGTGTATCGGTACAGTTGTGCTCTCACCTGAGTTATTAGACCTTACATTCAAGTATGGTCAAATATCGCTTTAAATCATGCAAATCCTCCACTTAGAGTCTTTTTTTTTGGACTGGGAAGATTGAAGGACATTGGTTTTGTTATTTTGATTTTGAATTTGGTAGATAAGGAGAAAGAGAGCTGCAGTAATACTGAAATCAGAATATATACACATCTGTATGGGAGCACCAATGATTGCTTGTGCAATACTTTCCAGGCTAAAAAAAAAAAAAATATAGAAAAATGTACACTGTTTTACCTGAGAAAATGGGCAGTTATTTTTTTTTAAAAAGTGAACTTATCCTTTAACTTGTTTTCCTTGTTCACGTGCTTGTGTATCAGTACAGTTGTGCTCTCTCCTGAGTTATTAGACCTTACATTCAAGTATGGTCAAATATCACTTTAAATCATGCAAATCCTCCAATTAGAGGTTTTTTTTTTTTTGGACTGTGAAGATTGAAGGACATTGGTTTTGTTATTTTGATTTTGAATTTGGTAGATAAGGAGAAATAGCGCTGCACTAATATTGAAATCAGTATATATGCATCTGTATGAGAGTGTGTTGGAGTGCTGGCAGCTGTTTACTAAAAACTCAAATAGACATTTTTATTATTATTAAGTAGCAGCTCACGAGACTCACACAGATTATAGTTAATAAAAGCAATGTATTCTAACCACCTATAGCAACATATCAGATATCAGCTTTTCTCTAGACAACAAAAATAGCTAAAAGATTATCTTTGAGGGATGCTGTAAAGCTGGTCATACAAATTTTATCTAGTTCCCAAAAAACTGCCTGAAATTCGCTTAGTGGATGGTCCTGCCAGCCCCTACTCATCTGCCATTTGTCAACTGAAAGATTTAGGCTCCTTTCACATTATCAGCCTGATAGGGTACACCTGTCCATTTTTCAAGTGGACCCGATCAGACTCTCCGCTATGGAGCGTCAAATGTGAATGGATTTGTGTCTGTTTTCACCCACCTACCTCCAATCTGATCCCATCTGCTAAAAACAAACAGAAGGGGATCCACTTCCTTCTATCTGGGTAAATCAGGTCAGA